AAAAAAAAAAAAAAAAAAAAAAATTAGCCAGGCCTGTTGGCATGTGCCTGTAATCCCAGCTACTCAGGAGGCTGAGGTGAGGATTGCTTGAGCCCAGGAGGCAGAGTTTGAGCAAATATCACACCACTGCACTCCAGCATGGGCGACAGAAAGAGACCCTTTCTGAAAAAGAAAAACACCAAAAACAGTGTGGTATACCTGTGGTCCCAGTTGCCTGAGAGGCTGAGATGGGCGATTGCTTGATTCCAGCAGGTTGGGGCTACAATAAGCTGTGATGGAGCCATTGCAATTCAGTCTGGGTGACAGAGCAAGACCTTGTCTCCCAGGCTGGAGTGTAGTGGCACATACCTGTAATCTCACCTGCTCGGGAGGCTGAGGTAGGGCGATTGCTCGGGCCCAGGAGTTTGAGATCAGTCTGGGCAACATAGCGAGACCCCATATCTTAAACAGAAAGATTGCAGGTGCTTAAAACATTTATGAAGATTTTATCTATATTAGACATTTTTTGATCATTTGATTTTGCACTATATTTAAATCTGATTAGTTTGTATGTATGTTATTATGTTGGTGAAGAATACAGGCCAAAAAAAAAAAAAAAGGGCTAAAAAGGAGGCTAAACTCATCATTATTAGTCTGAAATTTGCTTTTGATAATTACCTGATTTTATGTGCAGATTGATTGTTCTCTGGAGAGTATTGTACAAAAAAACTTTATGGTATCAAGCACAATTAAATCGAAGAGTTCCTGAAGGTGATAGTCAGTTAACTGAAAAGTTGACACATGAAGCATCTACTGTCAAGTCCCTGTTATGTCATTTGCAGGCAAACCTACAGACTACTGGAGATCACTTGAACCAAACCTTAGAACTTAAATCTATTGATGGTCAGTATCTTACGAACATTTTCTAGCTCTATGAAAAATGATATAGTTAATCAGACTTTGAATTTCGAATTGGTTGTAATGATTTGTTTTTCAAAATAATTTCTGGCTGAGCTCCATTAACTGAATTTTAAAACAAAGTAAATTTTTATGAAGTAATATAATTATGACTAATTGTTGGTTAAAAACTTTGTAGGGGAAGAGTGTTTCTTATTAGGATCATATGAAAAGTCTGTTCAGCTGTGGAAAGACGCTCTACAAGAAATCCAAGAGAAAGGTAGGAGAGTTTAAAAAAAATACATGCCATAATATTAGCAGTACAGCTTTTAGCTTGGTGTAGACCTTAAAAATAATTCTAAATTCCAGATTGCTTGTGATATCCTAATGCCAAATAGAATACATGTTTAGGCAACTTGCTACTCATGAATACTTATCTAAAATTATTCTTAACCTTGGAATTGGTAACACTAAGAATCTTTTCAGTGATCTATAGGTAAGTCTTCTGTCCTTTCTTTGATTTGTGATAAAATCTATGGTTGATTGTTGATAGGAAAAATGAGATTTAGATTTTACATAAAATAATGTGGACTTTTTTTTTTTTTGTAATTTAGACTGCAAGTGTCTAAATGGGAAACTATAGGTCATATATTTCACCACCTTCTTACAGATTTACAGAAACATGGAGCAAGGGCTTTTTGCCTTTAAGTAATTTAACTTTAAGAATTGTATGTCAGTTAACCGTATCGTTGCATTAAGTAGGGGCTTCATGGAGTTTTTGATAAGGATATAGGGATGTGGATGTTAGAAACTAGTTACAGCTTTTATGATATAGGACTGAGGATATGGCTGAGATGACAGAGGTTCTCAGCTGGTGACCCTGGAACTAGCCTTGACTGCAACTCTTACATGGTCAGATTTGGCCCATTATTAAATTTATTTTCTGACTGCTGTGGCTTTGTATGTTTCATTCACTCATCTACTTAACCAGTATTTGTTGAGTGCCTGCTATGTGCCCAGCACTCTGTTAGGCACTAATGATAACTGAAATAAACAACTTTACCCTCCAGTTGCCCACAGTCACTTTTCTCATTATGTTTTATGGTAGGTGTTTAGGGAACACAGAAGAGTACCTCAATAAAATCAGGCTGGAGTGCAAGCATCAGTCTGAGGAAGGCCTCTTGGAGTTGACATTTAAAATTGAGTAGAGATTGGCCAATTAAAGTCATGGGAATGGTTTAACAGAGGATATAGCATTCCAAAACCAAAAAGGCCTGGCAATTTGGTAAACTTCAAGTAGTTTAGTAGGACTAGTTATGTGATATGTGTATTATATATGATATTGGTGATAGGATGATAAGAGCTAAGTCGAGAGGTAGATGGACAACAGATGATGAAGGAGGGTCTTGTATGGAGTGCTAAGAAATTAAGATTTTATCTTGAAGACAGTGGGATTGGTTAGGACACTTTAGATAGGAAAAGGACTTATAGAAATAAGGATAGGCTGTTTAGAAAGATCACTTTGGTATAGTTGTGGAAGGTCAATTGCAGGACTATTATGTAGGGATGTGGGTTTTACTTGGAAGCAAGAAAGTCACTCAGACGAGGAGGCTTGAAACCAAAGCAATGTCAAGGGTAATGGAGAACAGAGGTCACATTTGACAGTTATTTAATAGGCTTAACTAGTCTACTTCTGATTGAGTAGATTTGGAGAAAGAAAGCTAGGGTAGTTCTCTGACTTGGGGATTGTCCATCTGGATGAAGAAGAACAGCATTCACTGAAATGTGAAGTTCTGGATGTAGAAAAGTTTTCATAATGAGCTCCATTGTGGACATTTTGTTTAATTTCATTCAACTACATCTATTAGGAATGGCTTCTATTAGTGGAGACTGAAAGTAGCAGTGGCTTCAACAGAGAAAGAGTGGCTTTCCTTTGTGAAAGGAGAGCAGAAGTTGCAGTTTGGGGCTGATGTGGTGTTTCCACTGTATCACCAACGCCCCAGGCTCCTTTAGTTTTTCTACTGCATCACCTTTAGTGCATTGCCTCCAGTCTTAAGGCCATTACAGAGGCTAAGATGGTTCCTAGACCTTCAGCTATCACATCCATATTCTAAGCAGCTAATAGGACAAAGGTTGGAAGAGCTTGAAAGGTTGCATTTCCTAGCTTTCTGATGTACCTTCTTTAAGCAGCTTTTCTGGAAATTGTGTACAATATTATCTCTTGAGTTGGAACATAGTCACATTTTTACATGGCCACATGTGTGAGAAATTGTGATCTTGGTGCATTATAACCTTAAACAAAAATTGGAATTATTTTACTCAGAAAGAATAGATAAGAGGTAGGAGACCAACAGTTTCAGTCTTCTGATATGTAAAGGCAGTTGTCAGGGGCTCCTATCTTATTGGATAACTGTTTCTTTTTCAGGAAGTCTTTTTGGCCATCTCTTTGATATACACTCAAGCCTGGGCAACAAGAGCGAGTTTTTGTGGCATGTTCCCTTCTGTTTCATACTGTGTATACTTGAGATAGAAGTTATCAGTAGACCTTAATGCTAAGTTGATAAGAATTTACAGCTCTCTTTAGATAAAATCTAAGTCATCCTAGGGCCTGATATAAGAAAATAAATTGTTTAGAATTTAAAATGAAAAAGAGCAAAGTATGATTCACCTGTTAAAAAAAAACCTTATATTGAAGTGTGAAACAGATATAGAAAAGTTTACATATAATGAGTGGACAACTTGATGAATTTTCACAAACTATACACTCCTGTCAATTGAACACTACACCAAGAGCATTCCCTTGCTTACATACTTTTAAGGTAAGCTTAATTCTTGTTTCAGGAGGAAGAAGGACGTATTTTCTTCAGATACGCTATTATCTTTCCCTCTTATACTGCCACCTCTATAGTTATAATTTAAATGATGCTCAAGGATTGTGTGATCACTTAGCAAGAGAAATCCTGAGATGGTCCCAACTACCCGTAAAAGAAAATAAAGAATTTTCAGGTATGCTTTTTTTTTCTTTTAAAAAAGAGTCAGGGTCTCCGTACGTTGCCAGGCTGGCTTCAAACCCCTGAGCTCAAGTAATCCTTCCACCTTAGCCTCCTCAAGTAGCTAGATCTACAGATTTCAGTATAATTTACTTGTTAGTTTGTATTTATAGGTTACAGACGTCAAATTGCTTATACATAAGAGCTGGTTGTTCTACCTCTCTAACGACTAACTGTATTATGTTGGATTTTGGACTCTCAGCTTCCCAATAGCAGGAACTATGTTGGGGTTTTTTGTTTGTATGTTTTTAAATCTTAGAATGCCCAGGATTTAGCAGTATAGTAATTGCCTGCTGAGCTGATAGTATAATTGGTTTCTTAGAACCATATTTATTAGACGTAATATTAGGTACCCAAGTGTTTTTCCTTAGTATGTTAACTATTGCTTACAGTGGTTTAGTGAAATCATAAAAATCTTTTTCTGAGATATTTTGAGTCTTTTAAAATATCTATTTAAGAGATTGGAGAGTATCTGGATTGACTTTTTCAAAGAGGTATATTTAAATTAGGCAATAACCAGAGGGGGGAAAATATCTGAATGAACATGTAATATATTTATAATGATTATAGAGTAGTAGACTGCTAGATGTATACTGTATATATGAATGTATCTGAGAGACCCAGTGTATCTGGAATATCTAAGTAGAGTTGATGCTAATTTGATTCTTGAGGGTTTTTTCTTTTTTGAGATGGAGTTTTGCTCTCGTTGCCCAGGCTGGAGTGCAATGGCTTGATCTCAGCTTGCTGCAATCTCTGCCTTCCAGGTTCAAGCAATTCTCCTGGTTTTGAACTCCTGACTTCAAGTGATCTGCCTGCCTTGGCCTCCCAAAGTGCTGGGATTACAAGCATGAGCCACCATGCCTGGTCTTTACTTTTTTAGATATGGTTTTATTCTGTTGGCGAGGCTGGAGTGCGGTTGAGTGATCTTGGCTCACCTGACCTCTGCCTCCTGGGTTCAAGCCATCCTGCTGTCTCAGCCTCCCAAGTAGCTGGGACTACAGGTGTGTGCCACCATGCCTGGCTAATTTTCATATTTTTTGTAGAGATGGGATCTTACCATGTTGCCCAGGCTGATCTTGAGCTCCTGGGCTCAAGCAGTCTGTCCACCTCGTCTTCCCAAAGTGTTGGGATTACAGGAGTGAGCCACTGTGCCTGGTTTACTTTGTGATTTTTATCTTTTAAAATTTTTGTGTTCATTAAGGATGTAATACATGTTCATTGTAGGCAATTTTGAAAATATGGACCGTGGTTCATGCCTGTAATCCCAGTACTTTGGGAGGCCGAGGCAGGCAGATCACGATGTCAGGAGTTTGAGACCAGACTGGCCAATATAGTGAAACCTGGTCTCCACTAAAAATACAAAAAATTAGCTGGGTGTGATGGTGGGTCCTGTAATCCCAGCTACTTGGGAGGTTGAGGCAGGAGAATTGCTTGAACCTGGGAGGCGGAGGTTGCAGTGAGCTGAGATTGTGACATTGCACTCTATCCTGGGCTGGACTCCATTTCAAAAAAAAAAAGAAAGAAAATATGGAAAGGTAGAGAGGAAACAAAATCACTTATAAGTTTTTTTTTTGTCTAAGGCCTTTTGACACATGTATATATGTATGTTACCACAGCTGGATAATCTCTTTAAATTTAATATTATGATGAATATTTTCCAGTGCCAGTAAACTTTAAAAAAAATCTATTGAGACTGTTCCCCATTATTGTAAATTTTGGTTGTTGCCATGTGTTTACTATTTTAAATAATGCTGCAGTGTACCTAAATATTTGTGAGCATTACTAATAATTTTTTTTTTTTTTTTTTTTT